TTCTCTATTATGTCTAGAATACGATTACATTACGAAAAATTCTGCAAAAATGTTTTATCTATTTTTTTGACTACTGTTCATTGAGTGACGACCAAAAAAACACGGTTTTTGAGAAAAGTTGCCTAAAATTGACGATTTTCAGTTTTTTGGTCTGAAAATTGAGCAAACCCAAATCTCATGTCTTTTGAATGTGTATACAAAGTTTAAAGTGTGTATGTTTCTTCTAAGTTGTAGAATTCTCCCGACAAAAGTCCCATTACACGCGCTCCGCGGGATCCAAAACTCGTGCATTTCTGTAATTTGATTTTTTTGTAATTTCCAGTTTTAAATTTCTTACATACCTTAATTTATTAGGCCTAAAATTTATTAAATTGTATTTTCCTGACTTGTTATAAGACGTTTCTTGAGTTTTGTGCAAAAAATAGAATTACCGCAAAATTAGCCGGATGTCGTATCAAGGATAGCCATGGTCTCGTCGTTCGCTATCCGACAAGTTTAAACTTGAAACGGTCATATTATTACAAATTGAATCGCTTGATAGTGTTCATCGGCATAGATTTTTAATAACCGTGTTCAGCAAGCTCTGTGTACACGTGGTTTTTCGGACTTCTTCAGCAATTTATTGAGTAAGTACCTTCTTAAATTAAGAAAATTCTATCACAGTGCTATAATTTTTTTGTTTCCAGGTTGCAATGGCAGGCCTGTGTTTATTATGTCATCAGAAACTTGCAGAGGGTGAACTTACCCCAATTAGACCGACAGGATTGAAAGGTCTGCAGATGGTCAGCAAAGAGAGAGGGGATGATTTTTTCAGTTCTTTAGAACCAGGTTTTATATTGCATGAGAGGTGTCGCAAACATTACGTAGCTCTACGTTAGGGAAAAGAGTTTATTTATAAAATCTGGGATAGGCATAAAAGGGCCACGATTAACAATGCCAAAAAAAAGGAGAATGGAGCATCAACCGAAAAGAAAACCAGATGTTAGAAAACAAAAAACAAGCTTATCACCAAGTTGGAACTTACACTCAAGCTTAGGATTAATTTCCTAACATTTTTAAAGTATACCTTTTTGTATATTTTTTTGTGCTCTTTCCGATTGCGCAGTTAGTTTTTTCAAATATATTTTTTGTTAGATGTTTTCGGAAAACCCGGAGAAAATCATATGGGAAAAAAAATTTAAAAAATTTACGCCTTCCGGTTTCCTGCGAATTCCCGAAAAATAGCAGATTTCGCCGCGGGACTTATTTAATTTGAGAGCCCACAAAAAATACGCAACTTCTCTCAAGGGCACATATGTCTAAAATTTATAATTTCGCCACAAATTTATCGCAAATTTCATGTTCATGATTCTGATCAAAGAAACGAAAAAACAACTTTTTGGTTAAAGCACTTCTGGCGGCGAGAAATTCGCCATTAAAACTACCTGTGCAATGAATTTCCGAACTATTCTTTGCCTCCTCTTTCGATTGGTGCATTTATTTTTACTATCAGAATGATACTTGCCCAGATAATTAGCATTTTTACCATGGAAAATTCCAGAAAACCCGGTTTTTCCTAATTAAAAAAAAATTGAAAAACAGCTACGGAAAGATCACATCAAAATACACAAGTTCCACTTTGTTTCATCCAATTACAAATTAATGTAAGCTCGAAGGGGCTTTTTTTCGTTATTTAATTGGACTATTAGTATTTTCCACAATATCTTATAAATAGCCGAAGTAAGTCAAAGGTATATTCCCGTTTCGACTGACATGAAAATTTGGTACGCTTTGGTAGTGTTTTGCCTGACTACATGTTAAACGGAAAAAAATAGTTGCGATTCTCCTGACCTGCTCAGGCAATAGATATGTATTTGCTATAAAGAAATCTATTACTAACAAATGAATAATAATAAGAAATGAACATAAAATTAAATTCAAGTATTATAGTTATTTAATTTGATATAAACAAAAAATATAGAGCACCCAGTATAGTAAAAAGTTAGTAAAATAAAAACTAAACATTTTTTCAAATTGACGAAGCGTAAAGCGAATAAACTATTTGAATTTAGAAATTTTTTTATGTGTCCCAATAACTGGCCAGGACAAAAAAAATATATTTAAAAACTAAAATTTCGCCAGTAATAATTTCAACTATACATTACTTTAGAAAAGAACTTAGTATAAATATGAAAAAAGATTTAAAGGAAAAATTATCAAGATGGTTTAGAAAATTTAAAAATAATTGATTTAAAAACACTGGTACAAAACGCTTAATAATGTCAGTAAATGCAGTTTTTTTTGTTTCAAATCAAATCATCCTTATAAATCAAATTCTACATGTATTTTGAAAATGAATATGTTTTCTGTCACAATAGGTATTCGCTCCGTGCGCGACAGCAGCGTCAATTTGTTTTGGTATTAAAGGAGTATTTCTGCCTATACTGACAAATACAATTTTTAATAGAATTCGTAAATAAAAAGTATATATGTTAGTTTTAATAAAAGTATATGGATTTATAAAACAATTAAAACATTAATTTATTATTATTATATATTTTTCACGCTTAAATTGAAGAAAATTATGTATAATCATTAAAAATCAATAATAAAATATAGGCAGGCAACAGTATTTACTGGAAAATGTATGAGAAGTTGCCTAAGTCTAATAAGTTGTCATTGAAGAAACCATTTATAATAGCGTGAAGTTAAAATGTATAAAAAGGATCGCTACTTATATTTTCATTTTTGTTCTAAAGAAAACATAAATGAATGATTAAAACTGGTTTCCGATCAGTAAGTCACAAAATTGCATACCAGCCAAATATTATAATCAACGGCAGAAATCTTGAAATCTAGTCCTTGCTGAATGAACATTTAAGAATAAAGGGATATTAAAAAACATCGTAAAATGATAATTTATTGTTTATTTAAAAACTTTCTAGTTTCTGATGTCTACTATTTCCAGCATTACTGTTATTATCACAAAAATAAAGGTAATTTTTCTTCTTATTGTACACCTATCCATTTATTTCTTTGATTTAATTTCCACTTTGTTAGTGAAATTTGTTATATAAGTTTCACTGTTTTTTTTGCTAGTATTTGTACAATTTTCAACACAGCAACTCCGGTTGCTTATTGTGTTGTTTTTACCTACTTTTTTGAAAAAATGTAAAATGTATACGTGTATTTGATATGCCAAAATTACAAAATATCCCCCTAAAATGCACGAATTATCCGCAGCTAGCGCTAGTATCACTTTTGCTTCCCTTTCCATGACTTCGCACGGAGCGAATAGGTCATTATATCAACACAAATAAACTTCGATAACATTATTGATTATAATATCATGAATTGAGATAAAAACATTTTTGATTTCTTTAGTGTCTTAGTGTCTTGTTCATTGGAATCGTTAGAAAAATTAAAAATTCGAATTGTATACAGACCTCTGGTTTGGCGCCCCTTTAGAGATGTGCTCGCGTGTGGTGCACACGCAGTACGCACAGTTGCGGGGGCCCTGTGTGTACTATTTCTGTACTTCGTGTACTGTTTACTGTTTGTGTACTGTATGAACTATTTGTGTACTACCTATATGTTGTATCTGGCACTAAGTGTGCAGGGTTCCGTAGTGTTTCTTCTTGGCAGACGTTGGTGACCTGCGGAAAACTTGAGGAACGACCTTATTTTTGGACATCAACTTAATTTTAATAGAGCTACCACCTTAGTTTTGCTTATCAACTTAATTTTTATCTATTTCTGTACTATTTATGTACAATTTGCGTGGGGCATAATGTGTACCAGCGGTTTACCCTTCGATTAAAACCCTTTGGGTTTCATAAATATTGTAATTTGTTAATAGGGTATAGATTTCCATAGTTTTCATGTAAAAAATAGACCTATACCGTTATTGATGCTCTCCATTACTCATGCGCAAATTCTACTTCCTCTTGAAATCATCAAAATTTGTTATGTTTCGTATCCTGAGTTCTAATTCCACATGCAACTGTCATGTAAGTATATCGTGGCCTATATCTAATTATTACACACAGTTTCTATTCGTAATAACGGGAAAATAATGTTGATCGCACAACCTATATTATTTCTTAATATTAAAAAACTTTCTCTGGCATTCCGAATCGAGTAACAAAAAAAAGAAGAGCAAATTTCGCTTATTAAATTCTACCAAGTAGGTACCGTGCTACATAATAACACAGTACGGCCTACCCTTTGGGCTATTTGGCCTTATCTGAAATTCAGCAGGGCGTTAATTTTTGGAACAGGCCATAACCCACTTCGCAGAGACCTCAAAAGGAATGCTATTGCGATGCCACACTTGTAATCAGAGCGATTTTTATCGAAATTTGCCATTAGCACGTATTTATTTATATATACGTTTTTTGTCTTTACAATTTAATTGTATAATATGTTTAAAATTCGTTTGTTGTCATTGTGTAATAGCAAGGTTGTCTTGGGCGGACCGTTCCACCCAGTCTCATTGTTTTTATTTGGTTATTACTTAAGAAATCGATATATTGTCTTCTTTAATGCAATGGTTTATTATATCATAATTGTCCTTCTGATCAGTGATCATCTGATAATAAGTAGGTATTCAAACATTTTTTAAATTTCAAATTAAAAAAAAACGCTTCTGCTGGCATAACGAACATTTTTTTGTTATCATATTTGGTTATTTTAGTAACGGTTAGGCCAGTTGTTTATATATTTTAAATTATGAAAATCGAAGAATTGTCCTTGTTCTTATTATTAAATAAAAAGCTAGTTGTAAAGTAAAAGTTAAAAATGAAATACTCTTTTAAAATAAACCCATAAAGAGATTGTGCACGTAATTTATATATCAAGAAAAACTTTTGCTGTGTTAAATATTTAAAATATGAAAAGAATATGTCACTAGGGACTTTGAATTCGTTTATGTTATTTTCAATTTCTTACCAAAAAAATAATTTGTATCAGTTTTATAATTCTCAATATTTTTTAATTTTTTGTTTTTTTATTTGTTCCAGATGGGTTACATTAACACGAATGACAGCAGCTATTACATCGAACCAGCTGAAACATTTACGAAAGGTTCCATGACCAGTTTGATGCATAGGATTAAAAAGTTACCACATCCTACAAGAAAATTCAATGATGTCACTTTTGACACAAACGAATTTTATGAGAACAGTGGTAAGTAGATACCTTCATTTTAAATTAAAAAAAAAAGAAGTTAGATGTGATGCGAGATTTTGATTATGTGTATCTGTAGGTGTTTGTTTTTATAAAGCGCATTTTTTGGGCCGTAAGCCCCAATAGTTTTTTAACTGTTTAACATAATATATTCACGTAACTTGTAAAGGGATTTTATGGATTTTCCGGTCATATTGTAATATACGCTACACTCTATGCAATAATACCAATATTTTTTTTAAACAGTGCATTTCTGCACAGTCCTATTTACATCGTAAAGGTACTAAAACGTTAAAGAGTTACAAAAAAAAAAAGTTTAAAATATAATAAAAATGTCTGCGAATAATAGTTAAAAACTATATTTTTATAGTTGGGAGCTAAAAATATATTCACCTGGCGAAATTTTATCAACAATGTTGTATTCGTGTTCAGCGTCAAGCATTGGATCAAAATAAATATGGCCACCTTATATTATCCAGAAATTAGTTTTGTAAATCTCTTTTATAAGTATTTGGTGTAAAATGTAGGCAGTCATTGTTAAATGTATCTTCCCGTTTACAATGATTAATGTTTTTATTGTAGTTAGAAACTGAAATATTGCAATCTGAAACAACAGACAATGAATTAGAAAATGTTTCTATTTTATTGAAAAGAACTTACCAAACCTATTCAAACGCATAAATTAAATAGTTTACAAATTCTTTTAAATCTCAAATATGTACCAAAAAGAAAAAGTGACAAGTGACAACTTTTTTATGTAAATATTTTGTTATGACTTATGATATAAAAGAATGGCTACGTTCGAAAACAATGTGATGTTCACAGTACATCTCGTGGATACTTTTTTTGCAAATTACTTTATTAAGTTGTGTTTTCATAACAGGTAGATTAAATAGGTAAGTAACAAATAGAAGTTTTGCGAGGTTTTGATTACTTCAATAACTTCTCATGAACGTTGCATTTACGTTGTATAGCAATGGTATTACCTTCCCTTAAAACAACATCGCCGAAAGGCTTGACAACGTTATGTGCTAGCTGGGTTTTTAACTTCCCTAGATATTATTGCGAATATTCCTTAACTTTCTGAATGAAACGATCATCCTCTAAAGAAGAAAATTCAAGTTTATGGTATATTTTAGAACTCATTGTAGCGCTTCACTGTTTAAAACTAAGTAGGAAGACACCAACGACAATGAACTAATCCGTTGAAATCAAACTCAGTTTCAACGCATTTTCGTCAATGATTAATAAGTTAAAGTTGACGAAATTTCGGGCTGAAGTTTCATTCAATCCATTCCCGTATTTCCACAAGAATCTGATGTAAACGAACTCGTTGCCGAACTTGTTATCTCAACGGAAATTTAGTAATAACCGGGGCTTAAAGTTGCGTTTTAAAACATGTTCATAACTTCATTGAGAGCAACCCGGACCTCTCGAGACAAGCAAAAATGTTGTGAGGATGTTCTAATATAAAATTGTATTTTTTTTATGCGCGCCACTACTAACACTTCGCGATGTTATGTGTCTCGAAAATATTGATGGTTTTTTGTGCAACGATAAGGCACATTAGATCTTTTTTGGTCACAGTTCATTAATATCCCATACCCAAGGCAGCGCTCTACAGATATATTTAAGAAAAATGGTGGAAAACCCTCCCGTTTAAAAACTACTAGATATTTATTAAAACAAAAAACTGCAAATTTTCATAGATTTAATATAGGTTTTTTTTTAATTCTTTTTAAAAATTATCAAAATAAATACTTTTCGAAGGTTTACAAAAAAATCAAGGTTTCTTCACCCTAAGCTTTGTTAATATTAATATTCATATTATAAAGACTCAGACAGAATTAAAAATTTTCAAGGTGTTCGGTTTGCTCTTAATTACTATTACATTTCATTAGTGACGTGAAATCGGTTATTCTGTAATTTTTAAATGGGGATTTTCACTAGTTGACCCTCTCGCAATACTGGCAAACTATACGGCCAAAAATGGGAGTTATTTTTTTACCTATCAGAAGTGCAACCGTGCAAATTATAATTTGCTAGAAAGCTTTTTTCATATAAAAAATACAACTGGAATCTAATGTTCAACAATTATACCAATTTGTTAAGTTTATAAAAATTACCAAACGATCAAAATTAGTGTAAACGAATTTCAGACTATCGAAACCAAAGTTGAAAAATGGAATGGTAAACAATTTAAGTTTATATTCTTATTTGTACGTTATTTCCAATATTCTAAGTGATTCTTTACAAAATACTAAACAGTGGTGTGCATGTACTTTTAAAATAAAATCAAACCTCCAATTAAGTTATTGCTTATTGTTGAATAAAGTAAAATGATTGTCAAGAAAAATTAAAACAATTTTATTAGCTTACTGAATACCGTGTTCTTAGTATTTTCTATAACTATGTTTCTTGGATTGACAAGCTGATAATCCCGGCGATAAGTAAGTTATAAAGTTAAAACGGGGATGTGGTTGGGTGATCTTCGAATGGATCCGGAATTCGAATACTACAGGGATATATTTTTTTTCTAGTTATTGATTTATCCGTAAATATGTAAGAAAGTGATAGCCTTTGGTGGAAGAGTACTCCAACCTCAGATTTCTTTCTCTTCTGTCTAATCGCCGAGGAGCCGTGCAGTCTGGTGCGGCGACCATCGAGTATCGAGAACCGACGAAGCTGTTTTTAGTCCGCCCATATCTCTCTACTTGCACAATATTTTTAAACACTAACCACTTTTGTTAAGTGGTACAAGTCGTTGAGTTTGCTCTAGAACATGCTGTGTGTGTGCAGTCGAGTAACATTTTTTCTATTTATTTTCTTATAGTTCTTGTTTTTTACCGTCTTTTCCCTGACCTCGCCGAAGGCTGGATTAAACCATACTGGGTGGTCTAGGAGTATAATGAAAGTTTTAATGGTATTCGCCGATTTCAAATAACAATTGGGCCGTTTCTAATACCTTTTAGGGCTAAGTTAACATTTTCTATTTACTACATAATTATAAAAAAATGGTTTTGTCCCTCAATTTTTCTTAATTTACTAATTTATGGAAATTTGATAAAAATCATAGGCATAATCAATTTTCTTTTTCTACGACATTGTAAAAATCCAATTCTGAAATTGATTTTTTTTTAAATAAAAGATTAACAGCAATAACAATAAGATGAAACACAGTATAAAGAAAACTCCAATACAAACGGTAGAATTGACCAGACAAAGGGTCAGTAGAAGTTATGGTGGTACTAATAGGTGTAGTTATTCCATTATTCTGGAGAACTGATATAGATGTAATAGTTATGAATGAAAGAATATTTATAAGTATATCAGTATGGAATTTCGATAAAAATTATTTAATTTTTCAGACTAATTTCCGTTTTTATTAAAGGTTTGTTCCAACAAAATAGTAAATCGGTTTACGTACTGTCGGGATTCTGCGCAGTCTGGATTTGGTGTTCTAACAAATTTCGGACTCAAAACTGTACAAAAACCTAGTGTTCCAACACACCCAAACCTAATCACAAACCAGTAGTTGTACTGTCAAATCAGTTCCTGGGGTAGAATTCTCGAGTCTCACATGAAAATTGACGCACACGGCAAATGTCGCATACCAAATTCGTATGGTTGTTAAAAATCAAAGACATTACAACATATAGACAAAATGTTTCATTCATAAATCCCATACAATTGCGGACTGTTATTGTTTTAAAATTGTTAGTGAGTGGAAGAGAGAAAGACAGATCTCTTATGACCGGCTGGCAACGTTGTAAACAGTGTCCATAATATGCTCGCCAGTGGCATAGAGTTTTAAACTTACCAGTATTGTCAGAGTAGTATGTTAAAAAAATACGTAAATATGTAGGTATATTTTTTTAGTAATATAATTATGATGATTTTTTCATGTAGGTAGATTAGATCTATTGTTTTACTCCTGTTTATTTTAGAGTATGTCGTCTAGCCTGGTCTTTTTTATTAGTCTTAGTAGCTTTGACAGTGGCTCCCGCATGTAGTTGCATGCAATTGGCTTTTCTTCGCCCAATGTTAGAAACCTCGTTCTAGCCAGGCATTCACATTGGCACAGGACGTGGAATATTGTTTCCTCTTCTTCTTCACAAAACCTGCACAAAGTTGCTTCTTCTGCTGGATTTATGACACTCATGTGCCTTTTGAGGCGACAGTGTCCAGTAAGAAGGCCTACTGTTATCCTAACGATTTGACGCTTTTGATCCAGTAGGTCTTTCGTGAACTTGGCCGATGGTTCCTTGATGAACTGTTTGGCCTGTCTCAGTCTTGGATAGTTGTTCCACCATTCCTGAGACTCTGTTTGCATCCATTGTTTAATGGATGCCTTGCACAATGCCTTAGCAACTCCACAGAAGGGTCCGGGGCCTGTCATGGCCTTATCTGAGCCTCCTCGGGCTAATTCGTCGGCCTTTTCGTTGCCCTGATATCCCTCATGGCCTGGAACCCAGGCTAAGGTCACCTTATTTTAACTACTTAACCCTGTCAGGTCTTCTAGACAGTCTTTCACCAGTCGTGATTTGATTTCTGGTGAGAGAATTGCCTTCAGAGTATATGCCAATAGTTTTGCATGATACTTGCTGATTTTTCATATAGGTAAATCCAAGTACAAGTAAATTCAAATACAAGCGAATTCAAGTTACCTTTCGATTTTTAATATTTATTGGTTTATAGTTTATTGGCATTTACTATATATTTGCCTGGTATGATGTTAACCAAAATTATTTAAAATTTTAAATTAAAATTAGGTAGGTAGGGGTATCTTACTAAAACACTGTCCTAAAAATATATAATTTTTTAATTAATAATTACAAAAAAACATGGTATGGCAAAAAATATCGTAAAAAAACTGTAAAAATTTTTAAAATAATGTTTTAAATATATAAAATACTTTAATTTTATTAACTAAAATTTCATTTAATTTTTTATGCTTAGTTATTAATGTTATAACTTACTGCAACGTTTCTTTTTGCAGC